TTAGGACTAACTCACTTTCATTCTGCAAGGGTTACTAGTGTTTGGGAGATACTAACAGGTACTCCATTAATAACGACAACTTAAGTATACTTAGGACTAACTCACTTTCATTCTGCAAGGGTTACTAGTGTTTGGGAGATACTAACCGGTACTCCATTAATAACGACAACTTAAGTATACTTAGGACTAACTCACTTTCATTCCGCAAGGGTTACTAGTGTTTGGAAGATACTAACCGGTACTCCATTAATAAAGATAACTTAAGTATACTTAGGACTAACTCACTTTCATTCCGCAAGGGTTACTAGTGTTTGGGAGATACTAACCGGTACTCCATTAATAACGACAACTTAAGTATACTTAGGACTAACTCACTTTCATTCTGCAAGGGTTACTAGTGTTTGGGAGATATTAACTGGTACTCCATTAATAACGACAACTTAAGTATACTTAGGACTAACTCACTTTCATTCTGCAAGGGTTACTAGTGTTTGGGAGATACTAACCGGTACTCCATTAATAACGATCATTCGATAAGAGTAAATAGGGTTTGTGAGATTTCATCCAGTTCTTCGTGAGTTAGAATAATTTGAATACAAACGACACTATCTCACGCTCATTCGATAAGAGTAAATAGGGTTTGTGAGATTTCATCCAGTTCTTCGTGAGTTAGAATAATTTGAATACAACAAATACTATCTCACTCTGATTCCATAAGAATTATATTGAATAACACGTACCAACTCATCCTTCATTAATAAGGGTACTTTGAATATAAATGACAGTAAATTGGTACAAAAAGTACTACGATACCTTTTTTTTAAAATATAAACGATGTATGTTTATGCATAGATGCCCGTCAGTGTTTCAGCAGTAAATCTGAAGGCATATAACGCTTAAAACCGGATTTATATCCATGGTGAGCACGGCACAGATAGCCTATTCTTTGTGCTTAATAACAAAGAAACAATTTATGTATAGAAGCAATTCGCGCACCAATTCTATAAAATCAGTTTTTTAGTCTTGCAAGCGATTTACTTTATAAGGAGAGGCTGGTGACTTAACGTTGAATAACCATCCTAGACAAAATGAATAAAATATGTTGTGTAATGTACAGAGATATATTTTTATTATACATACCGTTCATTATGTCAGTGTAGTTGGTTTTATTTGTCCCCTTTATTTCATTAAAACCATTTACAATAACACCCAGGCATCAGCTACCAATATTTACAAACCTTTTAGTTAATTAGGCTTCCAGAAGTTGATCGCGGACCATGTTTTTCAACTAGGAAATGATTCCCAGTTTGCTCCTGATGAAGAAAGATCTACATT